TATTCCACTGATCCTTGGGTCTGTTTCTTTGCCAGTACCATGCTGTTTTTATCACAGTAGCTTTGTAGTATAGTTTCAAGTTGGAGATTGTGATACCCCCAGCCATATCTCTGTTGCCTAAAATGCCTGTTGCTATTCTAGGTCTCTTCTGGTTCCAAATGAATTTTTAGATTGTTTTTTCTAGTTCTGTGAAGTATATTGTTGGAATTTCAATTGGGATTGCATTAAATCTATATAGTAGTTTTGGAAGTACAGTCAATTTCACTATATTGGTTCTTCCTACCCAGGAACAAGGGATATCTTTCCATTTCTTATATCCTTGGTCTCCTTTTACAGAGTGTTGGAGTTTTCAGTGTAGAGGTCTTATGCTTCCTTTGTGAGGTTGATTCCTAGATATTTCTTTTTTTTGGATGCTATTGTAAAAGGAATTGTTTCCCTAATTTCTCTCTCAATGAGTCTGCTATTTGTGTATGAGAAGGCTATTGTTTTTTGAGTGTTGACCTTATATCTAGCTACTCTACTGAATCTATCAATTAGGTCTAGAAGTGTTTTGGCTGAGTTTTTTGGGGTCTTCTATGTAAAGTATCATATCATCAGCAAATAATGACAGTTTAATTTCTTTCTTTCCTGTCTTTATTCCTTTTCTTTCTTTCTTTTTTCTAATTGCTGTGGCTAATATTTCCAGAACTACATTGAACAGGAGTGGTGAGAGTGGGCATTCTTGTCTTCTTCCTGATTTTAGCATGAAAGTTTTCAGTTTTTGATGATTTAGTAGGATGTTGGCTGTTGGTTTTTCACAAACAGCCTTAATCAGGTTGAGATAAAGACCTTCTATTCCAATTTTCTGTAGGGTTTTTATCATGAATGGGTGTTGGATTTTGACAAGTGCCTTTTCTGTATCTATTGAGATGATCATATGGTTTTTGTCCTTGATTCTGTTAATATAGTGTATTACATTTATTGATTTATGAATGTTGAACCATCCTTGTATCCCTGGGATAAATCTGACTTGATCAGGGTGTATGATCTTCTTGATGACCCTCTGTACTCTGTTTGCCAGTATCCTGTTAAGCATTCTTGCATCCATGTTCATTAGGGATATTGGTCTGAAGTTCTCTTTTTGGGTCGGGTCTTTCTCTGGTTCTGGAATCAAAGCAACACTTGCCTCCAGGGATGAATTTGGAAGCTTTGCTTCCTTTTCAATTTCCCTGACGAGTCCAAAGAGTAATGGCAATAGTTCTTCTTTAAATGTCTTGTAGAATTCAGCAGTGAAGCCAGCAGGACCTGGGCTTTACTTTGTTGTCAAATTTTTTATTACATTTTCAATTTTCCTCATTGTAATTGGGGTGTTTAGAATTTTTATATTTTCTTCATTTAACTTTGGCAATTCATATGTATCTAGGAATCTGTCCATTTCTTCTGTGTTTTCCATTTTATTAGAGTACAGGTTCTCAAATAGGTATTGATGATCCTCTGGATTTCTGCTGGTTCTGTTGTGACTTCACCTTTTTCATTCTTAATTGCATGGATTTGAGCTTTTTCTTTCCTTTTTTGATAAGGTTGGCTAAAGGTTTATTGATTTTATTTATTCTTTTGAAAAACCAACTCTTTGATTCATTAATTTTTTTGTATTTTTATCTTAGTCTCCATTGCTTTGATTTCTGGTCTGATCTTTATAATTTCCTTTCTTGCATGAGCTTTGCGTTTGTTATACTCCTCCCTTTCTAGGAGCTTGAGGTTCTGCTCTAGGTTGTTTATCTGTGTTCTCTCTGTTTTCCCAACATGGGCATTCACTGCTATGAATTTTCCGCATAGAACTGCTTTCATTGTGACCCATAGATTCCTTTATGTTGTACTGACATTATCATTTACTTGTAGAAATTGTCTAATTTCTTCTTTAATTTCCTCTGTGACCCAATGGTTGTTCAGGAGGGTGTTATTCAATTTCCATGTGTTTGTGGGAGTTTTGTGGTTTCCTGTTATTGACCTCCAATTTTATTGCACTATAGTCGATAATATGCAGGGGTGACTTCAATTCTTTTACATTTACTTAGACATGTCCTATGAACTAGCATGTTGTCCACTTTGGAGAATGACCTGTGTGCAGCCAAAAAGATGTGCATTCTGATTTTGTGGGGTGGAACACTCTATAAACATCTATCAAGTCCGTCTGTTCAATACCTTGGCTCAGTTCTAAAATTTCGTTGTTAATTTTTTGTCTAGATAATCTGTCTATTTGTGACAGTGGGGTATCGAAGTCTGGGGGACATTTTAGATCTTAACCATAGCACAGCCATTGATATGATGATTTATGTATCAGTGAAACACAGAGAAATGAGAAACAGGACGAGTAAGGAAAGAAGCCACAGAAGTGTGTCATGTTGAGTACAAGAAAGCAACCTGGGAGGTAACATTGGGTTAATCTTTCTAAGGATCCTTGGCAATTGGGGAACAGGAGGTGGAGTATTTGAAGCTCTGGACTCCTCATTGGATAATCTATGGGGAGAGGATGGCAGACATCCCATGTACTTGTGGGTTTTTGTGCAGTCAGTGGGGGACTGAGAGCCTGAGGGAAGCCCTTCAATCGCAGCTGTTGGGAACAGAAGTGTATTGGAAGCTGGTGGATACACAAATAGTAAGGGGTGTGTGGAATTGTCAAGAGAACCCCACTATCACCAACTCGGCCTTGTTTATAATGACATCAAGCTTGTGGAAATCCAAGCAGTAACTGCCACCAAAGATGCAGTGGGTCCCTCAATTCTTGCTGCAACTCTGAGAGTCATGTAATAGAGGCTTCCTTGGGAATGGGGGCTTGGTTTAGATTAGGGTTTGTGTTGGCCACCTTTGAAAGCAAAGTACTGGGAGCCAAAGAAGAAAGGGGGAGGTTAAATTATCTTTGTATGCAAACAACATGACCTATGTATAGAAAAAAAAAAACAACCCTGTTGGGGGAGGGCATAAATGAATTCAATAAGATTGTAGCATACAAATTAAAATACAAAAATCAGTGGATTTTTAACACATCATAACAGAATTGTTGAGAAAGAGATCAAGAAATTAAGCCCATTTAAAATGGTGACCAGAACTAAGGTAACCAGGAGTAAATTTAACCAATGGAAAGAATCATATTTACAAGGAAAAAAAGTTGCAGAGCATTTTATGAAAAAAATTAAGAGAAAACACATACACAAAAATAGAAAGACATCCTATATGGATGGATTGAAAGAATTAATATTGTTTAAATTTTCATACCACCCAAAGTGATCTGCAGTTTTAGTGCAATTCTTATAAAAATATCAATGATATTCTTCACAGAAGTAGAAAAAAACTGCCAAAATTACTATGAAACTACAAATTACCACAAATGGCCAAAGTAATCCTCAGCAAAAAGGAGTAAAGCTGAGGGCACTATATTACCTGACTTTAAAAGAAACAAACCATGCCATTAACATGTTGCCTAACAAACATAACACATAGACAAAGGAACACAGAGGCAAATCCAAGTGATGACACTCAACTAGATTTTTGACGAAATTAGTAATACACATCGGAGGAAGAAAATTCTCTTGGGTAAATGGTGTTGGGAAAACTGGATATCCACGTGCAGAAGGAACTAAACTGCTCTCTTAACATATACAAAAATTGACAATGGTTCAAGCCATAAATGTCAGACTTTGAAACTACAAGAAGAAAATATAGGAGAAATAATTGAGGACATTGGTCTTGCCGAAAATTTTATGGGCATAACTCCCAATAGTACATGCAGCAAAAGCAAAAATTAACAAATGGGACTATAGCAAATTAAAGTACTTCTCTACAGCAAGGAAAGCTATCAACAGAGTGCAGAGACAACCTATAGAAAGGGAGAAAATATTTAGAAACTATTCATCTAATAAGGGAATGATTCATATTGAAGAATACAGTGATGCCTTGGTTCATGAACTGGTTGCAACCAGAATCGTAGTACAAATTTTGTGACCAGAATCATGGGGAGGATTAAGTTCATGAACTGAGGTACCACTGTGTATGAAAATATGGAAGGAACTCAACTACATCAAAAAAATTTGCTTTTTTAAAAAAGCAAAATGACCCAAATAGATATTTCTCAAAAGATAATATACCAATGGCAAATAAGTACATAAAAAGATGCTTAACATTACTGTCTGGAAAATGCAAACAAAAAACACAGTGAGATACCATCTCACTCTAACTAGAATAGCGATTATCAAAAAAATAAAACAGTGAGCACTAGTGAGGATGCAGATGAAGGGGCACTCAAATACAGTTAGTAGGAAAGTAAATTAATACAACCTTTCTTAAAAACTATATAGTGGATCCTCAGAAACTGTAAATAGAATTCTTACACAATTCAGCAATCCTACTGCTATCTATATATCAACAGGAATTGAAGTTAGTATCTCAAGGAGACATCTGCATTCCCATGTTTATTGCAATACTGTTCCCAATAGCCAAGAGATGGAAACAACTGAGGTGTTCATGGATAGATGAATGGATAAAGAAAACGTAGTAGTGTATAGATGGAATATTATACAGCCATAAAAATAATAGAATTCTGTCATTTGTAGCAACCTTGATGGAAGCTGAGGACATTATATTAAGTAAAATATGTCAGGCACAAAAAAACAAATACTGAAATACTACATGTTCTGACTCATTTGTGGAGGGTAAAAAGTGGATCTCAAAGAAGTAGAGAATGTAACAGTGGTTACCAGAGACCTAGATGTGTATGGACAGGAAGGGATACATAGGAAAAGGTTAATGTGTTCATGGATACAACTTGGATGGCAGGAGAAATAACTTCTAATGTTCCATAGCATAGTAGGATCACTATGGTTCAAAGCAATTAATTGTGTGCTTCAAAGTGGCCAGAAGAAAGGATGCTTGTTGCATCCAACATAAAGAAATGATATGCCAGAAGTGATAAATATACCCATTACCCTGACCTAGTCATTACACATTGTACATACATATGGAAATGTCATACTGTGACAAGTGTATGTGCTAACTAAATATACAAATATTATAAATAAATAAACCATTGAGCTTAAAAAGAACTTCCCCTCAACCATGTACGCCTGGTATCTAATCGCCCCCTGTCCATCCGGGTCTTCTCTATGGTTCAGCAAGCTCGGGCTTCAGACTGGGCTTTAGTTCCTGCTTCACACCCTTTTGGCTAAAGAATATTGAGCAAATTGCCCAAAACCCTTGTTTTTCAGTTCCATCATCTGTCCAATAGAGCCAATAACACACCTTGCATCTAATAAGATTCATATCGGTTTCACAGTATTGTTTATACCAGTACTGCCTGCATTCTTTAATTCCCAATGTCAAACTACAGAAATTAAATCATCTCTCAAGTCATGGGCTCTTTCTCTGGAATAATTTCTAATATAACATTTTATATGGAAAATGAGATAAGGCCAGATAGAGTACAGAATAATAAGAGATCAGAAGCAGTATCATGTTTGTCCTGGCTGTTGCCATTGATTCTACTTCCTCCCTGACCTTAATAAGTTACCTGTGCTGCCTGGACCTCATCTCTCTCTGTTACAGAAGACGAACACAGGGTGTAGGTCACAGGTCTCCCCCAGCTCCATCTGCCGTTGACCCTAGGAGGTAGAGATGAGAGACAAGCATTCGGTCCTGGAAGTCTCAGCACAGTGGTAGGAACTGTAGCTGGCTTTCACTGCCCACAGCAGGAAGTGAGCCCTGCTCATTGGAGCCTGACGCCTAACGGGACTTGTAGTATCTGGTTGCTGGTTGAACATAGAATTTATTTATTTGTTTTGTAAGGTTATTCCAATACTGGGGCTCAGAATTTGGAAATGATTAACAGAATGATAATTATAATGCTTGAGAGGGGCTGAGCCTGTGAAGGAGGAAAAGCAGTCACAAATCAAGCAGAATATCATGCAGTGAGCCGCTCTTCCCACGAATGCTGGAAGGTTACAATGCCACTGCTGAATAGCTCTTTGAAATACTTCACTAAATTACTCTGTTGGGTACCCCTTATTAAGCAATCTGCTTCAGAAAGTTCTTTATTCTCCAGGACTGTCAGAGTCTCACAATTTCATTATGCTGGGGGGTTTGGGGCTGTCTCTTTTGAGAGATTTATCTGCCTGGCGAGTAGCCCATATTCCCTTCCTTGTTGGGCCTTGATAAGTATCCCCGATTGAAGGGAAAACAATTTGTGCAACTCTCTCAGTCAACTGGAAGCTGAACTGTGGGACTGAACAAAGTTCCATCCTACAGTGCCAATTTGCCCTTATCAAGTGCAACCGAGAAAATGTGGCGGCACGTTGCTGAGATGGGAAAACACTCCTAGCAAAATGAGAAAACAGTGATTGGACTTGTTTTATCAACCGAGTGCTAGCACTATAGCAATTTTCATACAATTACGCCATGTTAGAGTTGTCTTACCATATGGTTGGGCATTGATCATTTCGCTGCGATGATAATCTAACACTTATTGTGGATGTTTGTTGTGTTACTAAAATTTTCATTTTGGTATTCTGATTCTATCATAGAATGTGAGAAGCTTGACAGATATTTTTAATAAAAATTGTTAACATTTGTAGAATAAGAAAATCTCTTGCATGAAACTGCATGTTATTTGAACTTTCATAAGAAACTTGGGGGAGCTCAGACTGGTGTAATTAGCCCCCTGAACAGAAGCACTTACTGAAACCAAGTGGTTCCCAACCTGCCTCAAAATCAAACCAGTGGTAACTGGCAGGTCATGGATCATTCTAGAACAATTTCAAGTGCGATATCTTTTCCATGCAGTGACTCGGGGATTTTAATTCAATCATGTGTAGAGACCCCATTGTAATTTGTTCATATTCAATACTTTTCCCAAGCTACTAGGGAGCAACACACACAATCAGAAGTGCAAGTTGTCCTGGCCTTGTGCAGAGATCCTGAAGCCAATCATATACGCTGGAGGTTTCACACAGACATGAGAAGGCCACTAATGGGGCATAAAGGGTCATATAAAAGGCCAAATTGCACTGGTGAGATGCTCTGGCTTTCACCTTATGTTTCTCAGAACACTGGGACTCTGGGCAGGTTCTTCAGAATCCACTGCAGGAGCTGAGCAGTAGGACCAAGCTTTCTGCTTCTGCCAAGCAGTTCCACTGCTCTGTTTTTTTAAATACAAGATTTCCATGAAGCCGAGCATGGTGATGGTACATACCTATCAGCACTCTGGAGACTGAGGCAGGATCAAAAGTTCAAGCCTGGGCAACTTTAGAGACTTAGTGAGACCCTACCTCAAAATGAAAAAAAAATTTAAAAAGACTGGGTTCAATCCCCAACATCGCATACACACACACAAGAAGAGAGAAGGTCCACTGTGGAACAAAATGTTTGAAACAACTGGTCTAATGTAATCCACTCTCTTTTTTAGTGTGCAAGAACCTAGCCCTACAGAGGCACCGGACCTGTCCAGGAAGAGGAACTTCAGCCCACAGGAATATCCGGTCATTACTCCCAGTGGCACTGAGAGGGTCTAATGATCAACGCAAAGACATCATATCTCAATGCTGTCAATAGTCAGACTCACTTTAGTTTGACCCAGCAACTTTTTTGGAAGCTGAGGAGACAGGGCTGTTGGACAATAATCTAATTTACTGCAGAGTAAAACAGTCTAGAATGTTGTAATAGAGGGAAGTAAAATATCCAAGAAAAATTTTCCCTACCATTTATTTTTAATTAATTTTAAATTATAATTTTAAGTTAATTTCCAACTGTCCTGTACATTCCCCCTCTCCCATTGCTAACTCTGCCCTCTGTCTTGCTCAGACCAAATTCAGGTGACACACAATGATATCGTTCTAGCAAACCAACCTGAACATGTGACTTTTCTGCTTCTTCAAACCTGCTTTTCGTTTTACACAGTGCCATCCCTGTCTTTGGATGTCTTTCCTTCCCTTAAACCTAGAGATTTCTTCTCTGGTTTCATCTCCTACTGCTGTTTCCTTTTCTACTCACTCTAACTGTAATCATTTATTTTTTACCTCCATACAATCATCTCTGTTTCCCACACAGATACCATGACATAAGCAATACCTTTTGTTTGAAATACACTTACTGTACATCCTCACCTGGAAAACTCAGGCTTCCAGTCATATCCTAAGAATTGCCTAAATCAGGAACTTTTTAAAACATATAACCTTCATGTTAAATAGACAAATACTCTCTGATACACTTATTCAGCCATTGGGAAATTCTAGCTGAATCTGTTCCCATGACTATATTCCCTATGGTGAACTCTTTTAGAGTAATACTTATTGTATACTTTCTCAATCTCCATAATACCTAAAAAAAATCTTGACACATAAAAGGTGATCAATAAATGCTCGTTGAACTTAAATGTCTCTTTTTTATCCCATCTATTTCTTAAGCCTCTTTGGTTAAAGGAAGCAAAAGCCAGTACATACAAACCCAAGCTCACACAAGGACTGGGGGAGAGCCTGTGGGGGTCTCTCGTGCCACCCAGGTGGGGTTTCCGTGGGGCTTCAAGGAAGCTGAAGAGAATGGAGCCTCTTTCCCTTTATTCTAGAACCTCACATTCTTTCAACCTTGAGTGGCTGATGAATTATTTCCTCCATTTTTCCCTAAGCATCACCTTCCTCTACCTGAAGCGCACATGGAGAGAAAAGATCACAGGAGCCCTAGCCCAGCACACCTTCCGAGATTAACCTAAAACTTGTGGGTCTTGGTTTGAAGAGAGTTGGACTTGTGCTACTTGCCCAACCAATGATTGCCCAAGGGGCAGAAAAGACTATGGATGGTAATGCAGAAGATCTGCTCACCCACTCTGGGGGCACCTTTAAGGAGAAGGGGCTGTGTTTTGCACAGATAGCTGTAAAAGCATCTGTCCTAAGAGTGCAGTGCTCACCAAGATGAGGCGTCCTGTGGCCAGACTGGCATCCCCCAGGTGCCTCCCTCAGACTGTTAGTTCCTCAGGGCGATCATAGCTGAGAGAATAACAGAGCGCCATAGACCAGGAAGTTTGATAAATCCTCAAACTTCAATGTGTGTGTGTACGTTTTTACCATAAAACTTCTCAATGACTTTAATATGCAAATGTGATTTATGAGATAGAAACAGAGCACAACAACTATTGCAGTCTCTAAACTTATTTGTAGAAAGGAATATTTTCCCCCAAGAAATATCTTGCAGCCCTAGGCTTCTGTGGAATATACTTATAGAACCCTGGAGCACAGCAAAGCTAATTATCTCACTCTGTTGGTGGAAATACATACTAATCAATATGTTCGACTCCACCAATTCATAGTAATTGTATTTCCTGGATTCTACTTAGGAGTCATTGAGGACCTATAAATTCCTCTTCTGCTCTTCCCTCTTCTCGGGTGCAAATCATGATTTCCCTAGTGACTCAGGTGGAATTTTCTTCCTCCATTCAGCTTTAGACCTAATTAAATGTCTGCCATGTTTTTAACAGATCCAGTTTCAGATATGAGCACTAATGCTTTTAACAAGTAGAAATGGGCTGGGAAAGCAAAAACAACAGTCATTCACAGGCACATAACCAGCATGTTTAGGTGAAGTTTCTATGTTACCGACCGAGTCAGATCCACAATCAACCTCTTACTGAGTGCTTGGTAGATTCTTGTTTCTGGGTTGGGCCTTGCTGATTCTGGTGTGAAAAAGAACAGGACCTAGTCTGCTCTGAAGAGGCTCACACTTCAGTGGAATCGGCAGATGTGCCGTGTGCGCAGACAACTCCCCATGGAATGAATGCCTTGGTCACAGGAAGCCAATGGTAAAGAGCTAGCACAGAGGAGGGAAGGATTCCTCTGGGGAAGCATGCAAAACAGCTCCTTAAAAAAGTGACACCTCTCCTTGTTTTACTGAAAGGTAAGTGTTCTTGAGGAAAATAGCACACTTTGTTCTGCATGAGTGAGAAGAAAGGAAATTCAAAGGAACAGCTCTGGCTCAAGCTAACAATTGAGTGGCTGGCAGAGGAAGTGGTTCCAGGTCAGGAAAAGGAGGAGAAGTGTCCAGCAAGTTGGAAAAAGAACAAGGGAGGATGATATCCAGGTGCACAAAAGGAGGATATATCAACACACACACACACACACACACACACACACACACACAGGTCAAAAGCCTCAGATAAACTGCAGAAAAGCCAGTAAGATGTTAAGATTATTGGTTCAAAGTGAATATTCCACACCTGGAGCTTGACCATATTGGAGGTTCAAAACATGACCATTTGGACTCCCATAAATTTCTTCTATTATTTCTAATTAAACCATAAATCTACCAGTGATAAAATAATATAGGTTATTATAACTGAATAAATGTAAACTTCCACCAACAAAAATATTACAAAACCTGAGAGCAAAGGGAAGGGATGGAAATCAAGGGAATCTTTGTTGAGTAATAATTTCTCAACACTTGTATTTGACTTTTCTTCAAAAACTGTGCCCTGGAAATGAGGCCCATGATTTGTATTGGATTCTGTGACCAAGTAACTGTGTGTGTTTATGAAAGCCATTTCATCCTCTAGATCCGAGTTACCTGTTGAGTGTGAGAACTGGACTGGTGGATCTCCATGAGCTCTTCCAAGAGCCTGATCTCTCTGTGATTCTTAGGTGGAAGGACAGACACTTTATACTCTGACACCAACCCTCAGCTGGCAATGTTGTCCTCTCCCC